AATTTTAAACGCTCGTTATGGTTTCAACTCTAAACATATCATGTTACATTCGTTAAAAACAACAGAAAATCTGTAAGTCTGTTTTTATCAATTTAAAAAATTCTACGTATTTCATTTGTTTAAAATATAACACAAAAGTGGCAAAAAGAAAAAAAACCCCTGTAATTGGTAAAAGAAGCTCTCTCCGAGGTTATATGGGGTCCAGGAAATCCCCGGGTCCCTTATGAACGTTCGAAGGCCTTGAATGCCTTTATTATTACGCAACGCTTACTTATATAACGATGCAATGGACATAAATTGTCACAAAGTAGTAAATATAGTTTTATTCCAGTTTTGTTTTCGACAAGTTTTACTGTACTTTATGTATTAATATACCCTACACAGTTTTAATTTTGTAACATAATTCGCCTTAATTTTTAAAACTATTTTTTAAAAATTATGACAATAAATCATTAAAAGTTTATTTTATAGGTGATTTGGAAAAGAAGAAAAATTCATTTTTTCTTAATCGCTGTAAATAATAAAGTGATCTTAGATGAACGATTCGGAATTACAAATATCGTGTGTAGAGGGGCAAAATAATGTGAGGGGCAAAGTTGGGTCGATTTTAGGCTGTAAAAATCAAGTAAATTGAGATAAACGCTCAGTCTATATTACATTAATTTGTAGGTGGACAAATAGGCAGTGTTCAATACAACTGATTACTTTGAAATTAAAAAAATCGCTGGGACTCAAATCCGACGTTTCCATTAAAAACTGTTAAATATGAATTAAACTGTAAGTAATAACGACAGATGGCAGGCAACTTCATATAAACGAACTGAGAGAAAAAAATTATTCAATTGTTAAAGTTATTAAATACATTTTTCTAACAACAGATGGCAGCATATGAATTTGTCAACCTGTTTACCTGTATCGATGTTTCATATGTTTCCGAGCACTTCTTAATTTTTTAAGAATGTATGAGGTATATATTTATATATAAATATTGCAATTTTATATACATTTTTAAAGAATGAAAAGTCGTTAAGAATTAAGCAATGAACTTTTTTAATAATGTAAATGCATACGTAATATTAACGTTTATAAACAGACACGCAACCCTATCCTGTAAAGGTGTCTCTTCCGCATAGCGAGAATGAGTGTAGGTTAAGCATTCCACTTTTCCAACAGCAATAAAGTATACGGTAGAGTTTCTCAAACGTGATCCCGGCTTTTTTTTTAACCTGGGAAATATCCCGTGAAATCCCGCAATTTTTTTAAAAAATTCACTTTTTTCTTATTTTGTGTTAAAATTGAAGCAATTTTGCAAATAGAAAGTATAATTATTGATCCATAAACTGTCAGAATACATTTGTATTTATTATTTTAAGCCCGCTAATTAGTTTTTTAAAATTTTTGCTTATTATGGCGTGTCACAGATTGTCAATAATCAATACGTATCCTATTTGTGACCGGACTCTGAAAAATTTTTACTTGTCATAACCTGTAATAACTGGAGTAATTGCGGTTACGCTGTCTTAATTTTTAACCATGCCCTGTATCTTCGATAACTGCCTAACGCCAGGTTGTGCAAATTGGGCAAGGATGCAAACGAGTACGAAGTATGCAAGTATGAAATATTTAATGAATATAAGTTTTTTCCATTTCTTTTAATTATTTGGATGTAGGGAATATATTGGAAAATGAACTATATTTATAAAATGCTGACAGTTGCACGAACTACTCCCGTAGCCCTGCATTTTAATTTTTGTTGTTACACAACACCCCTTTGGGATTGGGAACCTCTCAATAAATAGTTACTCTTACGCTACCGTAAATCGAGCACGTTTAAATTTGAATGTTTTTTTTCCGTTTATTCACTATCTTTGGTGAGGACGATATAGAAAGACACTTTCTAGTCTAAATAAAACCAGTTAGACTGAAATTTAATTTAAGAAGATTTAAAAAATTAAAATGCAGTTTTAGCGTTTGTTTGTTATAACTGGAAGACTTGATCTTCAAAGCGTGGAAAAGATAAAGGGAAAATTTTGTATAGATTTGTCAAAAATAATGCATTTAATATGAATTTGAAAAAAATTTTAGCAAAAATTACAGTGAAAAAAATTTACAAATAAAGAAGTTAGGTAAGATTCAAGCTCCCAATGTGGTGGGTGGCGATCCTCCAAATTGTAGATCCCCTGTGGGAACAAATAATTTTTAATGAATCATACCACTACACGCGACCCTTTACTATATACAGTAATACCCCGACTTACGCTACCCCGACTTACGCAAATCCGGAGTTACGCGATTTTCAAATCTCGTCAATTCGTCTTTTGTTTGAGCGCCACGCAACTCTTAATTACTCATTTCCCCCACACTATTATTCGGCTTACATGTTCGGACGTGTTCGACATATAGCTACAATTTATTTTGTGTTATTTGTATGTATTTATATACAAAATTATACCCCGACTTACGCGAATTCGACTTACGCGGTTATCGCTTGGTCCCACCTATCGCGTAAGTTCGGGGTATTACTGTATATGCCTCCGAAAATTACTCGGTTAAATTTTAACTATGTGCACCGTCATGGCCGTCCATGTGCAATCTTTGACAGCAAGCATCATTTGAATTTAATGTAGGTGACGCTGTTGCAGTGGCATGCCGTGATATCTGATGATAGGGAAGCTGTGTTTCTGTAAGAAGCCGACTTCCAGGGGCAATCATAATATGATGATCTATCTGTCGAAGATTTGACGTGTCTCTAGCCCACCCTGAATTTTCGCCATTGCCCGTGGATCGCATAAGAGATGCTGCGCCATTCGAGGTTATTGGCGTTGATGTAGCTGGTCCACCGTACCTGAGGGATACACAGAAGTGTTGGATTGGCCTGTATACTTGTGCAGTATACAGGGCAGTACATCTTGAATTGTTGACGTCCCTGTCAACAAAAGCGTTCCTGCAGACATTTAGAAGATTTGTGGCAAGAAGAGGACACCCTTCTGTTATTTATAATAATAACGGCACAAATTTTGTCGGTGCCGCCAAAATTTTCTCTGAGGTGGAACTTAAAGAGATCAAAGACGAAATTCTTGTTCAAGACATTACCTGGAAATTCATTCCTCCAGCTTCGCCATGGGGGTGGCTGGTGGGAAAGGTTGGTAGGATGTGTAAAGCAGATTATGAGGAGAATTTGACTTATGAATTTTATGAAGAGATTATGAGGAGAATATTGTGAAATATGACGAGCTTCGTTAACCTACGAAGAACTCTACACAATTATCTGTGAGGTAAAGGGTTTGATGAACTCTCGACCACTTACTACTCTCTCGGAAGATATTGAAGATTTAATTCCGTTGACTCGTAATATGTTTCTGCAAGGAGTAAAGGAAACTGGACTTCCCAATTTAGACCACATGGAAAAGGTAAATCTTGGGAAGAGATTCCGTTATTTATGCAAGTTGAGAAAAGATTTACGAAATAGATTCCGAATTGAGTACCTGGCGCAATTGCAAAACCCGAGAGGGGTAGCCAAAGGCACTAAAATGATTGCCGTGGGAGATATCGTCTTGGTTGGGCATGACAACCAAAAACGACTTGATTGGCCTCTGGCGAAAGTTATCGAGATCTATCCAGGTAAAGATGGATTGGTAAGAGGTAGCCAAAATAAAAACACATGTTGGATTTCTCATCCGTCCTTTTAGGAAATTGTACCCCTTGGAGATCTTTTCGGAGAATGGAAAGCATGCTATGCGAAACGAATTTCGTGGCAAGACTGCAGGCTCTACTGAAAATGATCGCGACGGGACCTATGATGAGTCCCGAATGACCTCTGCCGTTACAGAGAGTGATGTTGTGACAAACTCATCTGAAAATTATCGAGTCTCAAAAAGGGACAGATTCCTAAAGACTCCAAATCGACCAGATTTATAAACTGATTCGAACTCATTCAATTTATACTATATGTGTTTTGTCAGGTTTAAATTTAAATTTAAATTTAATTTGATTTTGACTTACAAAATCAAAGGTGGAAGGATGACCCGTTCATACCGCTAGATGGCGGGCGTTTTTTTTTTTTTTGTTTCTTATTATTATTGTAGAGAGTTGGCAACACTTAGAAAAGACGTTCTTATGTTCAAAAAGAGCGGGAAATAACGGAATTCTCTTCTAACCGAATTAGTTAATTTTTGTTTTGTGTGAATAAAATCGAAAGACAGATTTAGTGGACTTTCCTTGGTTGGAGATACGACCGGGAACCTGGCGTACGAACAAGACGGGTCAGGTGAGAATTACGAAAGTTAAATTAATCATTACACGAGACTAGGATGGGCCTGACTGAGGCCATCGTTATTCAAGGCCTGCTTGGAGGTCACAGTACTGGTCATTCATCATCAAAGCGTTGCTGATCATTTATGTTAAATAGAATATTTTTTTTTATCAAAAGAATTATTTTTAAAATTAATTTATCGAGGTAATATTTAAATGTTATAAATGTATTAAATAATTTTTAAGTGAAAAAAGTTTCATAATGAACAACACTGCATGATTAACTTTTAAAATTTATTTTATCAACTTTTTAAACAAATAAATATATCAAAAGTCTTGCAATTATTAATTTTTATCTTACAAAGAATATAATTTATTTTAAAAATCTATATTATTACATATTACTTCTGTAAATGTATTTAGAAAAATTTATATATAAAATAAAACAGAAATCTAACTTAATACAGTATATAAATATTTATTACTATTATGAGAATAAGTGCAAGTGGAAATGTGTAGGTAAAGTATTTAAAGTAATTAATTTGCAGATTTATTGTAAGTTTGTAATTTCCTTTTTCTTCCAGGTATATGTTTCAATGCTGATATTCTTGCATGACAATAATTATTTAAAAAAATATTTGAAATTATATTTAAAAAATTTTTCAAAAGAAAATATGGCATTGTTCCACAGATACATGGAACACTGACAGATACTAAATCAATTAGTTCAATTCTTTCAAATGAAAGTTTTATAAATAACTTTGTTTTTTGCACTGTAGAAATTGATCGTCATACTTAGCTTGTAATAAACATTGAAAAGGCTTATATAATTCAACAGTTAAAGTGAGAAATAAATCAGATGGATATGAAAGTCCTCCTCTATCAATTTCTTTAATATAACTTATAAGTTCAGGGTGTAAAATGTCAAATTCTAATTTTTTATCTAAACAGGATATTACTGATTTACACTTTTCACATGAAATTGTCTGTAATAATTTATGAACAGCATAACCAGCAGTAAAAACTAAAATTTTAACAGTAGACAAAGGAACTGTTATTATTTCACATTCAATTGGAACATCATCAAAACATTCAAAACAAATATCCATCTGTGATTTAAAGGAATGTTGCATACAATTTTCTACTTGAGCTGACATCAAATCTTTAATATGGAAATTCCCTATTCTCTCAGATTTTAATTTCAGTAAACTTAAAAATTTTAATTTTTTTTCACATTCTAAAACCTGCACAACACTAACATGATAATTACCACCACACATTTGGCGATATTGTCCAAACCTAGCTTCAAGATTATCTGTTTGGAACTTTCCCAAAAGTACAAACTTCAATGAAAATTTTTTAAACAAATATTCAATAAGATGAATCGTAGCATAAGTTGAATGTTTTAAAGCGAAATGTGTTTCATATGACAATCTTCCATAGTGTTGTTTCAAGTTAAATTTATCCCATGCATCCAAAAATTCTATAAAACAATTCAGAAATTTAATTTGCTCATCATTTTTAGTATATATTGGTCTGCAGTAAATATCTCTTAATTGTTTTCCCTTTTCTGGATGTTTTACATTCATTACATTCCACCATATTGCAATTCTTTCAATAAAATCTTTTGTCTGGATATAATCCACATTTTGTGCAAATTTCTGCAGAGCTGCAGCTACTTTCTTATCAAAAAGTTTTATTGCATATGAAACATTTTGCCTTTCCAATGATAAAGGATATAATACCTTTAAAGACAAAGATGGTGCAAACTTCACACTTTTGCCTTCTGCTCTTAATATCTCTTTTAGATGAAACAAAGTAGCAATGCATTTTGTTTCCTTTTGTATGTCAGGATAAAAAAATGTCTGGTTAGTATGGTGTATATTCAGCCAATTATTTCTAATTGATTTTAATAAGTGCACAGAATCAAATAGTAAGAAAATCAATTCCTCTGAGAATGGATTCTTCACAGATACTTTTAATTCACCACCACAAAAAAGAGTAAACATTTTACTCTTTTTTGAGTATTTATTCTGTTATCGGCAGGCATGGAAACAACTTGATAACCAATGCTTGCTACAACTTTCAACACTTGTTTTGTTCCAACAACTGCTCAGCTTTAAGACTGCAAACTGGATGTAATGCAGTAATATCTTTTTCTTTAGAAAATAATGATGCCACTAGAAATGCCAAAACACATTTAGCTTCTGACATTTTTTCATTTATTGCTAATCCATAAATTCTACCATCTTTGAATAATGACATGGGTTTTACATGTATTTCATCTAATTGTAGTATAACTATTTTATCTTTTGAGTTAAGGCATTGAACTTTTTCTTTAAGATATGTAATATGTTCTGTATTTGGATCAATCTCATTAGTAATGCAACTAGTAAAACTCCTCAAATAGGATGTATATGGTAATGTCAAAACATTACTATTCTTAATGAGCCTATATGAAGTTGGAGAATGAAAAAATAACATGGAAGCCCATATTAAAGTCTCAGAACTGTATCTTGGTTGTTTCGAACTAAATAAATATATCTGTTCACAGAGAAATGACAATTTTGTATTTGAAAATTCAAAAGAATCTTCACTCTCGGTACTTAAACATTCTAAGATCATTTGTGCAGCTTGATGCAGTTTATCTTTCATTTTTACTTCTGTTTTGTTATATCCTTGTAAATGACTCAATAATGCCTCAAATTTAGTCCATTAATCACACTTTTTTCTGATCCTAACAGCCGTTCAAAGTTTTTGTTATCCAATTGGGTTCCATTAAAATATATGCATATATCAAAATTTTGAAGCAATTTAATAGCATGGGTTACTTGTGGAATATCTGACATTGTAATTTTATATAATAAAACATATTCTGTATCAAATAAATACAACCAAGAATTTGCAACATGATTGGAAATACCATCTTCCAAATCTGCAAATGATTTAATGATATGTTTTTGGCACCATTCACAAAACTGTTGATTATCACGTTCAAATAATTCTTTTCTTCTGTCATTACCAGATTTTCTTTTGGCTGGAGGCTTATGTGAAAGGTAAGCTGGACAATTTGGAAATATGGAAGGATAGGCATCTTCAGTTATTTTTGGTTTCAATCTAGGAACTATTAACCATGACCCATCATCTATTTTTACTTTATCTTCTTTAATGATAAATTTGTCATCAAAATGTTTAATACACACAACACTGTTTTAGAAGGAGAAAAGTCATTACGTGGTATAGCGTTAATCCACTTACTAATCATTTCTTGACTTTTGGGGAAAGAGAAAACTGTTGTGTACTCTGTAGATGAGTAATTGCTTTTACAGCCTGTCACACAGCATCTTTGAGGCATCTATTATGTAAATACATATATTTAAATTCTTTTTAGTTATAATGTAAAATAATTAGTAACATATTCTTACCCATATCTACTATAGCACATATACAGTATATATATACACACATACAGTATATTACATATTATTAACTTATGTTATATCCAATTTTGTCCTAATTAAACTAGTTTATTCATTTCACTTAGAATTATAAGAAATTATTAATATTTTAACGAATGGGACAACTTAGATAACTTGATGTAAATCAGGGATTGTACCAATTGTCGAAATCTTATATTGAATTGCCAACAAGAAAATCTTACCATTATTTATAATATCCAATATATAAATCAAACTGACTTTATCCACAAAAAATATAATGTATAACTAAAATGTCTTTCCTTTTAAAGTGTATTTACGAATTAGGCCTAATTTGAAAATATTGAAAAATGGTCTACATAATAACTAGTTATGTACTTAAAATACCCTTAATTTTCTTTTTATATAATTAATAATCAAAAAAATGTCTTACCTTTGATAAACTAGATGAATATAAATAATATCCAATTTATGATGCCACTGGAACTGGATTATAAAATGAACTAGAAAGACAAGCTTTGATATATCCAACACCACGTTGTCCAGTAAACAACGAATGACCAGTAATTTGACGTCACAATTCTTTGACACGGTTACAAGCAAGCCTTGAATAACGATGGCCTCGGCCTGAAGCGATAGAGGGTTAAAACTACCCTACAATTGTGACGATCTCAAAAAAAAAAAAAAAAAAGAAACGAAAAATAAATGAAATAGAGGAGTTTATTGAATCCGTTCGACCAAATCAATGTCATGTATAAAGACACTATTTAAACACCGTTTATGGACGGCTACAGTTGCTAAATTTCAAATAACAGGTAGGTCTAGTACAGGGGTTGCCAAACTTTTTTGATCGTCGATCCCCTACACCAGTGTTTTTGAATCTTCTTGAATACGCGACCCCTTTACAAGATAAAAAATTCTGGTGACCCCCCCAGGGCCATATTAAAACTATATCAGTGATTTTAAAAACTATGTATTTAATTTTCTTTCTGTTGAGACAAATTATTGTTGATTAAAATGAAAATTTTACAAGAATCGACAATAACTTAATACAGGTAAAGTATGAAACTTCCTTTAATCATAACATTGGGCACAGGGAGCCGTTGACCTTTTTTTCTTTTTAGGATCAGCATTTTCAGCTTCTACTTTTTATTTCTTTTTTGAAATCAGCTCAACACTTTTTCGGCTATTATTTTCCCTGGCTACACCCATGATTGAGACCTAAGTATCGATCAGAAATCCAATTATACTGAAAAATAAACAGGTACAGTTTTCTCACTGAAATTGTAGCTTTTTTAATGTAGTGTAGGACCTACAAACACTTGTCTTTTTCTTTTACTAGTGACTCCCCCATGTAAGGCTTTGCGACCCCCAGCGGGTCGCGACTGACAGGTTGAAAAACACTGCCCTACACAGTGGTGTAGCGAACGTAACTGGCACCTGGGGCACGACACTTTATTGGCGTGCCCTCCCCTCCAGAAACACATATACAGTGGTGCCTTGTATAACATGCTTAATGTGTTCCAGGTGCATGTTCGTTAAGTGAAAAGTCTGTTATACGAAATGCATTTTCCCATGTTAAAACATGTAACCTCCTCAGACCCGAGAATTAAAAAATGTTTTTTTTTAATCAATTTATTTTAAAATTACAATATTTGTATTATAAAAAGTCCAATTATGAATTCAACATCAACCTTTGACCCTTAGTGTTTTTTAAGGGGCACATCTATTAAAATGGATCTTTGGGACTTAATTAACCAAATTATAGCAATTTGAAACTTAAAATTTTTAATGAATTTACTTGTTTTAAATAATTGAAAGAAAATATCAATTAAATAAAAATAAATTGTATAGTTCAAGGATGCTTCTATTTGTTATGAAAAGCCAAAAAAACAGTTTCTATCACTTGTAATACATAGAAATACATTGCACTGTATGCATCTGAATTTAGTTTTTTTCTTGCATCCTGGATTTCTGCAGCATGCACTGTTTTTAATATCACCAGCCAAGTCTGGAAGGTAAATTGCACCATTCACCCGAAAAGCTAGGGACAGAATTGGAACTATCTTTTTCTTTTGAGTTGGGGGAGATAAATCATCAATGTTCTCTGTTGTTTGAGTTGGGAAAAAACTGAAAATAAGCTCTTCAGCTAAACTAATTTTAAAGTCCATGAATTCAAGAATTTATTTTTTTCTTTTCCCAAAAAATATTCTGTCTTGCTTGTATTCCAACCAAGAGTTTGCTGTAGCAAAATCAAATCAGAAAAAGATTGTTTTAATAGTCCATTTCTTGGTTCTTGCCTTGATCCTGTAGTAGCTAATTGTTCTATCTAAGTCAACACCCCCATATTCATGTTGTATTCTCTTACAATTTGAGGATGTTCCACTTGAATAAACTTTTTTCTTTCTTAGACCATCTTCTGCACATATCTTCCTCTCCCACTCCTGATACAGTTGATGCCAAGAAAATGGCTTTATTGTCCATCCATTTTACAATAGCAATTTTAGCTTCATCATTAACAGATTGGTCAGAACTCCCTCGTCCTAATCTTTCTAGTGCTTGATCTTCTAAAAGCTTCACACCCTTTGGAATTCTGTTTTTCATTAGAGTACCAGTTCCAGCAATTCCTCTGTCATGTAAAACACTCAGCAGGCTGATTGTAGTAAAATATCTGTCAAAGTATATCTTTGTACCTGCTTCTAAGGTTCTACTAAGGTACAGTACAGCTGATTCTCCTAAACTAGCAATTTTTCTATCTATGTTGTAAGTAGGAAATGTTGTTTTAGCTTGGTAAATACAGAAATCAAGGGCTAATCCACTAGGTGCTGCTAAAACAAAGTTTTTTAATCCTACTGGATTTGGCTTCCTTGGCACATACTGTTTCAATTGTGACACACCAGTGAATGGGATCATTTGTTCATCAATACAAACACATGCTGGACAAGGCAATGCCAAGCATACATCTCTGAATTTATTAACTACTGGTTCAATTTTCCAGATTTTGTTTTCCTGTTTGTGGCTATCTTCAACTAGTCTGTCAACAACTGCTTTTAAATTTGATTGTATCATAAAATACCTGTCCATCGTCATTGCATTTGCAATAGTTTGCACTCGAGTAGCCCTTCCCCAATACATTCGTATCTGAGGATACCCGAGGATACTCATTAAAAATGTCATTCCAAAGAAGATTTTTATTTCTGAAGCTGACACATTCAGACTTTTACCAGATTTTTCAACAGATGTTAAATTTGTAGCTTTTGTAATTAATTCATAGAGTTTATCATCAGCATACAGTAAGAAATAATCAATAACAAACAAAACTTACTACTACACCTTATCTTGCAGCCGAAGTTTATTATTTCAAATGTTTTCGGTCATGTTAAATGACCTTACCTGCTGTACGATTGCACCCCCTAACGCCATGGGAAAACTGAAAGCAAGAGTCAAGAGGTTTGCCACCACTCCTTTAGCCAAAGAACTAGGCATCAAGAATGTAATTGTACAATCCCCGTAGACTCCAAGGCTTTTTGGATTTGCTAAAACCCATAAAAAGAACAAAGATATAAGACCAGTCTTTGATAAAGCATACGCTCCTACAATATTACTAGAAAAATGGGTACACAATTTTGTTCGGCAACATGCCCCTAACAATCCGTACAGCGTCAAGCAACCGTTAGAGATTTTAAACAAAATGGCTGATATTAACTCGAAGGAAGTTAAATATTTGAGTGTTAGACTATAAAGCCTTATATCCATCCGTTAAACTGGAACCATGTTTTTGTCATCTAAGGGATATACTACTTAGCAAGATCCCTTCTCCAGGAAGGAAAAGAAAATACATCTTAGAATTGTCGTACCTTACCATTTTCTCTGCGCTATTTAGTTTCAAAGGTGTTACCTATACACAACAAAAAGGGGTAGCTATGGGCAGCCCCCTTGCAGGTATGCTATGTGAAATGATACTAGCAACGCTAGAAAATGCACTGTTGCCGAAGTATGAGGTGCAAATGATAATGCACGTTCGATACGTAGACGATGTACTTATATTCTGGAATGCTAAACCCAACATACAGAGTTTTATAAAGGATATAATTGACAATAGATTTGGTCTTGAGATAGAGTTAGAGCAAGAAAACGATAAGACCATACATTTCTTAGATCTGTATATACAAATTAACAGCTCAGGAGGGTTTACTACTAAAGTCTACAGAAATCCCTCATATAACCCTACATTTATTTCTTGGATCTCTCATGATCCTCCAGCATATAAAATGGCAGCGTTCCGAGCCTTAATTGCAAGAGCTTATTCGCATTGTAGCAATACAAAAGATAGAACGGATGAATTGAATTATATGTATAACTTAGCCAGAAAGTACGGGATTAATGTTAATGCTATTATCAGCAAGAGCATAAAGCGCCTTAAGAAGAGAAGTTTACCTAATAATGAAGGAATTATAACGATGGATTATAACGCATCGATGACTAATATCTTTCAACGCATCGGAAAAGCCAAGAAAAAAAGAATCCTATATAAAAGAACCCCCACCACTTACCAGCTATTGTGATCCGATAAGGATGAAGTGGACAGAAACACACTCCCCGGTGTCTATAAAATCCCAGTTATGGACTCACGGCGACGTAATAAATTAATGTATATAGGAGCCACAGGAAGATGTATCAAGGACATGTTAGCAGAACACTAAGGAAATATAAGAAAGGAACAACCGTGCACGGCGCTGGCCACATACGTTTTAGCGGACCCGCAAGATGTCAAAGCTGAATGGGACCAAGCAAGACTACTGCAGGTAGTTCGAGACCGTAAACACTGGCATTACGTGGAAGCATGGCAGATTTGTAAAGCAAACCATAAAGGCCTTACAAACAACTTTGGAGAATCGGCAAAAATATTGGCAACATGGTCCTCAAGCTTAATAAAAAGCCTTAATAATCGAAGATTACTATGATACTATGCATCTTTATATTCTAAGCTATGTATTTATGCACATTGATCAGAGATGGTAAATCTATGTAATTATGATTTTTAGATATTTATATAATCTTTAGGATTGTTTATACTTCCGTTGCAATGTTAAAACTGACGTCATTAATTGCAACGATTATAGGCTAGTTCAAAAACATTCAAAAAGCTTGTTCGTTTGTACTAAGCATTCGATTTTTACAGTTTTTTTCTTTTATTTGATTTCTTTTTCTTGAGAAAGGTCATTTAACATGACCGAAAACGTTTGAAGTAATAAACTTCGGCTGCAAGATAAGGTGTAGTAGTAAGTTTTGTTTGTTATTAATAGTATGCAGTCTAGAATGAATTGAAATAACCAATAGGTTTCCAGTTATAATGACCTTCAGCATGATGACCTATAGCATTTTGACAGTTTGATGGGGGAAGCAAAGTTGCATCAAATGATGTAGAATTCTTTCAAATTTTTTGACACCTTCTCTTAGGTCCAGATAGACGAGATGGTCCAGGATGAGTATCATTTAAATCTTCAATTTCCTCTTTAGAAGATAAAGATGATGATTCTACTTGTAAAGCTGGAGGAGGGATAATTAAAGTCTCATCTTCATTTCTACTACCTTCACCAACATCCAAGTCACTATCATCCCCTAATTGTTCTAATTGTTTCAACAAATTGTCAGCTGATACAGCTAAAATGAAAAACAAACGATTGTTACTGGAGCAGAAATAAGTAAACAAAATGTAAGCCTAATGCAAACTTAGAAGCAGTGAATCCTGACATTTATTAGAATGGATGTTGTTAAATTTCCTGTATATCGATAAAAATGTATAAAAACATCATAAAATTAGATATAATATAATTAAAATATAACAAAATTTAATTATTTAAAATAATATATAGTAAAAGCGTAATATTAAGATTAAAAACGACTAATAATTACCTTTGTTCCTTCTGTAATGAAAACTTGTTGTTGACGCCGCCATCTTGAAAATAAAAAGTATAAAAACAATATTGCCAGATGACTGATGATGAAAAGTGAAAACTCCACTATAAAGAATTCCTGGTCTGAACTCGATAAAATGAACAGAAAAATATTAAACAAATAAAAACAAACATCTATTTTAATGGATGAGAGGTCGGAGGAGGATAATTCATTCCACAGCATAAAATAACCGTACTGTACCATAAAAAAAATGAAAATGGAGCAGTCACCAATTATACTGGGTAGTCAGATGTTGTGAGGAGGAGGTGGAGGAACACTTTCTTCACACATTCATACAGATACAAACTTTTTACACATTGCAGTAGGTCTCTTTTTATTGATTTTTAATCAGAGTCAGATCCAGGGCATGCAGGATCAACTCCTCTTGTTACATCCCTTGTTTTTTGGCAGCTGGCTTCTTGAAAAACAAGCCCAAGGTGGTCTGTTTCTCTCTCTTCTTGAACATCTGTCGGAAATTATGGGCAAAAGTATCATTGTAGAGATAATTGATCCTGCTGGCCTCAGCTGTGTTTGGATAATGAGTGTTTGTAAATTCCCGAACCTCTCCCCATTTGACAAGGAAGTTTTTGTCAACTTTCACTCCTTTTAATGATTTCTTGCTCTCTTTCAATTGAAATCACCTTTCTGTTTTTTTTAGAAGATATGATTTGCACAACACTTGAATAAATGTAAATACCCTGCACTGAGGTGATGTACAGTCGGGTAAACTTGCCTAATTCGTACTTCACTTATATCTCAACTCCGGTAATAGCTATTAGTGTCTTTAGTGGCAAAAAAAGTAAATAACAATAGGCCATATTACCATCTGACAGACAACACGCTGTTTCACTGCTCCCTGCAAAAATATTGAAAAGTAAGTTTGGGACCTCCCAGAAATGGTTTAGTAACTCTTCTTTACCATTCCTGGGATCTGAACGCTCACCCACGTGTTTGCCATGCATGGTGTCCCGTATGCCGGAAAGGGGGATCCTGGTAGTTGAGGGGCAACATAACGTCCCTAACACACTGCTTTGGCCCCTGCTTCGGATAAACGGGAGGCTCAAATCAGGCTCCGTTCGAGTCAATTGGCTGGTCGTTGAGTCATTCTTGACCTCGGCTTGGTGTCAACCGATCGATGCAGACCGGGCAGACACATCAGACAAGATGTGCTCTTCCTGACTGCATTGTGAGGGTATTGCTCCTGGGAAACCCTGGTGTGACGGTCTATGGGAGACTCCCATGTGCCGGCATCGCGTTGTTGGGCCCCGTGGTGGGTGGGGTCGTTAGGAGCTGAATTGTTTTGTCTAAATACAGATTCCAAAAATTTAAAACTAAACAGGGATGAGTTACCTCCAGTAACAACCAACGTTTCCATCACTGCAACCTACTTGATAGTTCATGCGACTGGTGATAAACCACTGTCAAAATGCTCTCCATTTCTTATTCAAAAAATATTTGAATTAACTATTGGGCACTTGAAAAAGATACAAAAATTGAGGTCGGGACCTGCTGGTAGAAACAGCCTCACCTCAACAAACAGTAAATCTATTGGCAACAAAAACACTTGGAGACATGGAAGTCACTGTCACCCCACACGGAAGTCTAAACTCATCACGTGGGGTGATAATCGAGATTGATCTGATGTCTGAAGACGAATCAGATATACAGATCAGTCTTTCAGATCAAGGAGTCATTGCTGTACGACGCACTTTCATTTGTCGTGATGGCAAGTTGATACCAACTAAACATCTCATTCTTACTTTCAGAAAGCCAACATTACCATCATTTGTTACTGCAGGATATCTGCGCTGTCCGGTTCATCAGTACATTCCAAATCCGCTGCGTTGCTTTAAATGCCAGCGATTTGGACATTCCCAAACATCATGTCGAGGCAAAAGTTTATGTGCACAGTGTGGAGTTGAAGGCCACCAGGGTACTGAGTGCACAACCACTCCATGCTGTGTCAACTGCAAAGAGGCCCATACTGCCTACTCCCGAAAATGTCCCACGTGGAAAAGAGAGAAAGAGATTCAGCGGGTAAAGACGGTGAATAATATACCTTACCCAGAGGGACGACGCATGGTCACTTTAAATTTACCAGTGAAACAGAAGACATTTGCTGCTGTTCTGAAATACGCAAAGACATGTGGAGTTCAGACAGACATTTCTGTTTCACCAAATGAATCTCTAACTCGCCATGAAAAATGTTTGCTAATACCATCTACCCGAACAGCAGAAAAGGAGAGCAAGAAGACCAAAACACCCCTACCTAAAACAGGGGTAGCAGCCTTCTTAGAAACGTGGGTTCTAAGAAGGCTGCTAAGAACCCGCTCAACAAACAAAAATTAAAAGCAGCCATCTCCAATTCTAAGAGATCAGAGACTCAATCCATGAGTGAGTTCTCTGATATCTCTGACGAAGAGAATAATATGGAGGTGACACATTCAACTTCATTTTCAAAAGGAAAATCCGCAGTAAAATTGAAGAGGGACACTTTTTCTAAGAATGCTGCCTCAAACACATAATGGATTATAAAATAATCCAATGGAACTGTCGTGGTTTTCGCAACAACTTCTCTGACATTAAACACTTGACATCATTTACCTCATCTCTCTGCGTGGCACCCCAGGAAACTCATCTGAAACCTGGAGAAAGAATTACTTTAAAAGGATTCAATCTCTACCACAAGGATGATGATAGCCACAACCGCGCCAGTGGCGGTGTGGCTATTCTGGTTTCAAATCGCATTCCATTCTTACTGGTACAAATAACAACAGAGCTGCAAGCTGTGGCAGTCGAAATTTCAATTGACATAACTGTCACAGTTTGTTCTGTATACTTGCCACCAGATGTCAGTGTCAATGAGAATGAACAGGATGCCTAGGTTGAACAGCTGCCAACACCATTCCTTCTACTTGGTGATTTTAATGGCCACAATCCTATGTGGGGCAGTCGCGACATTAATCGTTGAGGCAGAGCCATTGAGAGATTTATAGGTAATCATCAACTGTATCTATTTAACACTGGAGAAGTGACATACTTCCATGCCCCATCAAGAACGTTCACTGCCATTGATCTATTATTAGCAACTCCGAATCTGTTTTCAGCATTTACATGGAAGGTTGGATCTAATCCACTCTCTAGTGACCACTTC